TTTGCCTTCTACTCTTACCCATTCTTAAGAATTCATGTATTCTTTTATTTACAACTGTATTCATATCTCATATCCCAGATATTTCTCATCCTGTCAGCAAGGAAATACGGAACTCAAAAATAATGGAAAGAAATAGGATGAACAAAATGAAGTAGGCTTAATTATAATAGAATCATAGAATGGCCTGGGATGAAAAGGACCTCAGTGATCATCTAGTTTCAACCCCCTGCTATGTGCAGGCTCGTCGACCAGGCTGCCCAGAGCCACATCCAGCCTGGCCTTGAATGCCTGCAGGGATGGGGCATCCACAACCTCCTTGGGCAACCTGTTCCAGTGCATCACCACCCTCTGTGTGAAAAACTTCCTTCTAATATCTAACCTAAGCCTTCCCTGTCTCAGTTTAAAACCACTCCCCCTTGTCCTGTCACTATCCACCCTTGTAAAAAGCTGTTCCCCTCCTGCTTACACTCTCCCTTCAAGTACTGAAAGGCCACAGTGAGGTCACCCTGTAGCCTTCTCTTCTCCAAGCTAAACAAGCCCAGTTCCCTCAGCATTTCTTCATAGGTGCTGCAGCCTCTGATCATCTTAGTGGCCCTCCTCTGGACCTCTTCCAAGAGTTCCTGAAAGCTTTTCTTTAGAAAAAAATACTAATTCTCTCAACTTCATTATTCAACATTCCTGATGTAAGAACTGCTGAATATAAAGAATCATGAATGCCAGATCTCTGCGGGATGATGGTAAAGTTAGGACTGTAAATCAGACTAGAATCACTGTTTTAACATGGACAATTTACCGTGCAAGATAAGCTAAAAAAATTGTGTACAGACCAGTGATAAAAATAAACGCCAGTCATTTTATATATAAATATGATTCTGTAGCCATAGGTTTGGGAGCTAAGATGGTACTGAATCTTTTCACCTAGCTCAGAAAGTAAGCCTATTCAAATTTAGGCTTTAAATAAATCAAGATTTAGATTATGTATATATTATATATATATATATATGTATATATTACCATTAGAAAATACATTTTCAGTAAGAAACAATACTATGCCAAATACTGGCTAGCAAGTGCTTGCTACTCTCTCATATTTTGTCTATAATACCATTTTATCAGTGTTTGCAATCACATTATAGTACAAGAAGGGAATTAATGCTTTCTTAATTGGGAGATCTTTTGGAGTCAAGGTGGAAAGACTGATTACTTTGAGTTCCTCTTCCTTTGGGAAATAAATAGGGAAATTTACATCATGAAAAAAGCAGTGTTTTCTCTTGGGAGTGGGTAGGAAAAATGCCTGTTCTTTGCCAAACTCACATCTTACCCACTTCTGTAGGTGGGAGAAGGCTGGAACTTTTTCTTCTGGAAATGCTTCTAGTGGGTAGTGAGAAGGCAAATTTTCCTTCATTTTTGAAAAGTCCTGCTCACAACAGAGTCCTGCAAAGCAAACTTCAGGTGTTAACTGTCCAGGTGCCTTTGCTAGTGCAGAACGAGAAATGCAAGCCATATGGGCCAATCTTGTTAGTATCTACAGGTGGGAAAGAACTGAGGCAAAGCCAGTATTTCTCACCACCATTTCTGGAGTCCTTGTGGACTCAACCTTTAAGGTAGAATTTAAGATAGTTTCATAAGCCATGTTCCCAAAGGAAAAGGAGGTCAGAATTTCATCTTAGACTGTTATCGTTTGAAGAGGCACTGATGTTTTACAATAATTTGTTCGCATTATCCAGGAAAAATCTAAGCTCCAAAGCAGGGACTGTTACACAAATAGATTCCAAAATCATCTTTTGTGTAAGTCTGAAATTCAAGAAATGATGATCAGCTGTGCTTTTAAAGCATTTATTCAGTTCTAATAGAAACTGGCAGATCTGACCCTTTATCTGAACAGTTTTCTTCTCCTGATGAAATGCAATGACAATTGAAGGTAAATGAGCCCAGGCAGATTTCCCAGAAAACGCTTCCTAGAAATAGAATGTCTCTATCTGACCCTGATCTCCTGAGTTGGAATCTCTATTCTTACCTCTGTCTGATGCAGAGAAAACTTACATCCTTCATACCTGTCCAGCATCCTTTGTAGCTTATATAAACAAGCGAACCAAGGCAGTAACTATTATAGAAAAGTTTCAAATTAATGCCTTTTCAAAGCATAATACAATCATAAATGCTATGAACAAGTCATGCTAAAAATCTTTTTTTTGAAATTCAGTAATATAAAAACCACATGTAAGATGACAAAAGTAGCAGTCAGAAAAGACTATCAGGGTTGTTCCAAAAGTAATGCCTCCTGTTTTATTATCTTGGCCAACACCATCAGAGGCGGTGGTACCACCATCATGTTGGTGGTACGGCAGTAGAGACTGAACCTTCCCACCAATATGCTGTTATATTTTGTTACCATACAATGGATGGCAGCAAAGGAGCAGTGTGATAAATGGTATATAAAACAAAGGTGTATCACTCCTTTGAATTCCTCCATGTGGAAAAAAATGGCATCCACTGACAATCTTCAACATTTGCTGAACATTGGTGGAGATGAAGAGTGAGGCAGTCGGTGGTGCATTTCAGCAGCAATGACAGCAGATTTTTTTACAAGCATGGCATACAGGCTCTTGTGGTGGTGAAAATGCATAGCTAATAGTAGTGACTATGTTGAAAAACAGTATGTTAGAGCTGAGAATTTGTTCTATCATGTAGTGTTACTGTGCTTTTTGTAATTACTCTCAGAGCAACACACGTAACATGAAATTCTGTATGATAATTTCAATCATTAGATTTTAAAAGTCATTCTATTTTAGAACTGAGGTGACAGCATTTGGCTTTTATCAAACAATGAGTTTCAACAAGATAACCAATAAATTGCTATTTTAAAATGTTTTTAATTTTAAATTTTCTTTTCAATATACCACATTCTTTAAAACACTCAACTTCTATGCTTTCAAAAGCCATTTTTGGACACCAGCTTGAAGGAAGACATGAGTTTTCACTGTATGTTCTGTATGCAGGTAGTTCTGTGAGAACTATGAGAATCATTCTATGATTCTGTAACAGTTTTTTTCTTCCTCTGAATGTTCAAAATCACAAGACAGCCATGTCCCAGAAAAGTCAACTGGACTTTTGCATAACCAAACAAAAAAACCTGTTTGTGAGCAATTCTTTGGCAGGCTAAAACAGGCTTGGTTGCTAATGCTTAACTGAATGCAGAATCTAGAGATCTTCAAGAATGAATTCTTAACTCTGCATCTAATTTCATGTCCCTCAAATCAAGAGGACTATGATAAATGGAGCAAGTTCAACAGCATTCCACTGAGAAGCAAAGGAGGCAGAAGCACTTGATGTAGAAGGAGAGGCTATACTTATTAGGCCTAGACAACAGGCTTAGGAAAATCCTGATAGAAGCTTTCTGAAATTTACAAAGAGATTATGAAAATTAAGGCAGTTGTGCACAGTAAAAGAAACAGCAGACTTCACTGAAAGAAGGCAGCTTTTAACTGGATAGGAGTGTCGATTTCTTTTTTAAGCTGAGGACAGTCAGGCACCAGATCAGATTGCCACTAGAAGTTGTTCATTCTCCATCCGTGAACATTTTGAAGGTACAAATGGATAAAGCCCTAAGCAATTCACAGAATCATAGAATGTCTTGGGTTGGAAGGCACCTTAAAGACCATCTGCTTCCATCTCCCATGCCATGGGCAGAGTTGCCACCCACCAGCTCAGGCTGCCCAGGTCCTCATCTAGCCTGGTCTTGAGCACCTGCAGGGATGGGGCATCCACAGCTTCTCTGGGCAGCCTGTGCCAGCACCTCACCATCTCTGAGTAAAAAATTTCCTCCTAATACATAATCTAAATCTCTCCTCTTTTAGTTTAAAAATGCTCCCCCTTCCCCTATCACTATCTGCCTATGTAAAAAGTCAATCGCCTTTCTGTTTATAAGCTCACTTTAAGTACTGGAAAGCTGAAACAGAAAAGATCCAACAGTTCCACATATTTTTATAAGGGCATGTAGTGACAGCATGAGGGGAAATGGCTTTAAAGTAGAATAGGGTAGATTCAGACCAGATATCAGGAGGAAATTCTTTACTGTGAGGGTTGTGAGACACTGGAACAGGCTGAGCAGTGAGGTTGTGGATGTTCCCTCCCTAGAAGCATTCAAGGCTTGGCCAAAGGGGTCCTAGAGAGGTGGCCCTGCCTATAGCAGGGGGTTGAAACTAGATGATCTCAAAGGCCCCTTCCAACTCAAACCATTCTATGGTTCTATGAATGTACACCATAAAATATTTTCCTCTCTAACTGTAATCAAACATAAATGTAACTGTGTAAGTTTAGGGAGGCAATTAACTTTTACTTTAAATAACACAAGCCTCTCAAAAGATAAACAAGTTCTGAACAGTCTGCACTGTGTATTTTCAAATGTTAAGCCTGATTCACAATAACTTCAAGATCTTGGATCCGATAACTGAGTTCTGGCAGTTCCATTATGACCAACAGGATGAGCCACAAAAAGATGGCTGACTTTTTTACATCAATGTTTCCAAGGCATAACTGCTTCTTTCAGAAGAGAGTATCAATTTTGGTTTTCGATAGGTTATGATTTGGTGGTTTTTTGCTGGGTTTTCTGCCAAACGTTTTAAAATCAGAGAAATAAATTTCATATAATTATTATTACTTTTATAAGTAAAAAACAACAAAGATTTAGCTTAATTACCTCATCAAAAATATTAGTTTGCAAGCAAAATATTCCAAGTAACACAGGCATACATAACCAAACAGTCATGGCTCATGAATGTAAACAGCTCACCATCAACTATCTACCTTTTAAATAATGAGGCTACAAAGCATGAAATGCAGTTACATGGATTGGTAAGGATCAAATTATTTTATACTCAGAATTTTATTTTGATCTATGAAATGCAGTTTAGGTGTTGGGAAAACAACATATTTCTTTAAAAGCAGAGGAATTGTATTAGTAAATAATTCAATGAACTTCTTTGACACCTGTTATCTGAAGAGTTACGTTTTCCTATGAGTAGGAATAAGGATAGCTTTTAAAAATTAACTTGCATTAGCCTGCTTGTCACTCCTGTGGAAAAGTGATGTCATCACTGGGATCTGAGCAAAGTACTTTTTTGCCCGGATATGCTTCTGCTTTATTCCATGAATAAATGATGCTTCATAAGCCTGAAAGGAAAGAAAATCCAAATCCTATTAAATACAATTAAAATATTCAGCAATATACTTGTTTGCTTTATATTTTAGACAATAGAAATAGCAACTCTTTACTGAAGTAAACCATATAATGTATTCATATCTAATACAGAATGAAATAAAACATTCTACAGTTCTATACTGCTACCTTATGGTGAAAATCACTAACCACTCCTGGTGAAATTTTAATCATCTGTTAAAAACAGTTTTTTATCCACCCGAGGTAAGTTCCATTTATTTCTTTTCAAGTAAGAAATTTCAAAAATGGAAATGGTTAAACATCAGCACTTGCAAGGTAATTAATATGTGAAATCTCCTTGGTAAGAATCAGAATGGTTACTTACAAATAACCATGGCAGCAAGCACTTCACTGTGTTTGAGTCAGCGTATTTTCCTGATTTCTCATGATCAGTACTAGCACATAGGATGATGTATAAAGACAGAATATTTCGTTGAAAAAAAAATTTTTTTTGCTATCTCTTTAGCCATAGTTATGAAGTAGAATCACTACTAAATAAAGTGCTTAAGAGGCCACTTTCTTTGTTTCAAAGAATGACAAACAATGATTCAACTTACGGCATTTTAGGCCTCATTTTCTCTTATTTCACAAGCATTATTTGAAACAAAGCTTTGGCCATTACCGCTGAAGCAAAGCAGCTTCTCGCTGGCCCACTTCCATTTCTGCATCAAGAGATAACTGAAAATAACATGCAGCTTTAAAATAGATTATATACCTTATCTGCTGCTCTTCTGGCCTATCTCCCACCTCCACTAAAGCAGATGTGGAGGCCTTTCCCTGTTATCCTGCTGCTCATTACCAGTCATACAGAAGACTGAACAGTTCAAAAATTTTCATTTCCAACTTAGAATGAAAGCATTTGGAATAGGAAAATTAATGGTTCTTTTCAAGAGTCTGTAATTGGCTTCAAGCTGTGCCAGGGGACATTCAGGCTGGGCGTTAGGAAATACTTCTTCTCTGAAAGAGTGGTCAGGCACTGGAACGGGCTGCCCAGGGAGGTGGTGCAGTCACCAACCCTGGAGGTGTTAAGGAACGTTTGGATGCTGTGTTGAGGGGCATGGTTCAGTGAGAACTATTGGTGATAGGTGGATGGTTGGACTGGGTGATCCTGTGGGTCTTTTCCAACCCTGGAGATTCTGTGATTCTATGATAATTATAGAGTCCAAAAATTCAGTTACAGAGAAAGTATAAGTCCAAATCAGAAAATATTTCTATTTCTATTGTGTAAAAGTAATGAAATATTTTTTACTAGTATTTATCATTCATATTAAAATGTCAAATCTAAGCTTTGGACTTAATCAAATTAAAAAATCTGACAATGACAATCCAGCCTTAAGAAGTTAAACCAGGAAAATGCATAAACAGAACATCTGCCTGCCATCATGCCGGGAAGATAGATTTATGGATGCAAAGGTGTATTATTAGATTTAGACTGCCTGGAGAGCACTGTTGATTGGAAGTGAGACAGAGGACTTAATATAGGAATTTCCATCATTAAACTGATTCTAACTTTTAAAGGTAATACTCATGTAAGAATGTGTCTGCTTGAAAACAAAAGCTGGGCATGCACAGAACAAATATGGATTGTTAAATTCCCTTTACATTTTGAGTTCCCTACTGTATTTTGTTCCCAAAACAAAATCTTCTTTCAGAGAGTCATTTATTTGCTTTGTCAATTTAGCTCTCAGATAATATCAACATTTCCAAAACGAGTACCATCTGAAGTCCATGCTAGATCAGTAGTTACAGTGGGACAATTTAAACATGAATGAGTGCAAAGTCTTTGGCCAAACATCATTACTCACAGGATACTACTAGAACAGTAGAGTCACTGGAAAAATATAAGCCATCAGATATTACCTCTTGAAGGTTATGCAGCTTAAGATGTGCATCAGCTTCATCTTTAGTGAGGAGAATAGTGTTCCATGGAGACCACTCTTGCTGCTTATCCCATCTGACCATAACCAAATCATAGAGGTCATTGCAAGAACTAAGAGCTGACTGACAGCCCCATATGTTCTCAATCATGTACTGCAGATGCTGCTGCTGAAATGGAAAACAAGAGCAAGAAAGGTGAAACGTATTTCATTCTACAGCAAAAATGGTAACCATTTAAGAGTCCAGACTTTGGAGTAAAATACTTCTATGCATGTCACACAATCACTTGGTTGAAGAATATCTAGACTTGCATCTTCCTTAAGCAGGGCATGGAACTATTAATTAAATTTTTCTTACGTCATAGCTAAAATCTGCATTCTTACTTGGATTATTTCTGCCATTGGAAATTTCTTATCTCCCTTTGACATCCCAATTGATTAAATGCTCTTATAAAGCTTCTTAGATCTCATTTTCTTTCTCTTGTAGCATGCTTTAACCTGTTCAGACTTCTTTGGTTGATGATAATAATCCATCCCTGTTATCCCCCATTCAAGAGTTCAGAATTACTGTTATTGAATAAATAAGTTATTATACTACTAAATTACTTAAAGTTTACATATAATCAGAATAATCTGGCCTGAAAAATGTGGAAAATTACAACAATGAAAAGTTCTCCCTGTTAACAGACCTTAAATCACGGCCCACTCAGCTTTTTTGCTCTCAGTCTCTTATTGGCACACTAAGTGTGTTCATGATACTGTTATTCATTTTACCAGATGTGGTCACCAAAGATCAGGTAGTTATGCTACAACATTAACAAAAAATAATGGAAGGGCTGCGTGTAAAAGTTCTCTGGTACAGAAAGATCTTTAGGTATACTTTTCAAGTTAATTTATATTGATCTTGATTTGTTTAATTTTTATTAGCCATCTGAAATAACTACAAATTCTTGATTAAAAAAAAAATCATACATAACAAAAAAAATTAGGCGAGCAGTTGCCACTGAACTTGGTGAGTTTTTCAGTCACCCTATGTTGATTCTTCTCTGTCTCAGTCATGGAAATGTTATTAGAAGATCGTTCTCTACAGGAGCCTGTATTCAGCAGAATTTAAACAGGTTTTCCTCCAGCAAGCCATTTAAAAAGGCTCATTCCTCTAAGGAGAAATCATTACTTACTTAAATTAGTGTTTCCATCTTACTTATTAGAACCCTGGCAAAATATGGATGGAAGTATACCAACACAATGCTTTAGTGAAATGAAGTCTCATGTATTCTCAACTACCTTGCTTCCAAAATCCAGGAACCCACCTAAATTGTTGCCAGGAAAAAAATGTATGATAAAAGATGGGCTTAGAACATCCATTATAACAACTATATGCTTACTGGTTCCAAGAACATAAGACTGCTGCTACATCTGGTCTTAAATCTGGTCCTCCTTTATTAGCTTTCATTAATTGGTGTATATTTTTAGTATTTCCTCCTTTTCACCACATTTTGAATAACATTTTGAATAACTGTGTCTTCTTTTAAGAAGCCAGACGTTTGAAAGTACACTGGCATGCACTTTTTTTTTTTTTTTTTTGGTCCTAAGCTGTGAATCTCAAATAATTGGCTAAAACTTACATTAAAATATATGAAGTACCATCTAAAACAGATCCAAAAACTAATTTGTCATTTTCCTTTCCTGCCTGTAAATTAGACGAAAGCCTGTTCTGTGTGAAAACTTTTCTGGTTATGAAGAAAAGTCTGATTTAAGAGACAACTTCTGCACTTTGTTAAGGTAGATATGCATTTTGCTGTGAAAATTCACAGTTCATATCACATGACACTCTGTCCCTCCCCTCTGGTACCTTGTTCTACTCTCACAAAGAAACAGAAAAGTCGTTCAACCACTACTATCAGACAAGTTGAGAGCAAGCATCATTACTTAGCGATGGAGACTGGGAAATGAGTGAAGGCAAAGAATGGATAAATGAGTTCATCATATTCATTAGTTCAAAGGAACACTCCCATCAGCCTCAGGACTTGACACATTGCTGAACTAGTTCATTTTGATAGCAAAAAAGCAGGTCTTTAGCTACAGTAAACTGAATTTAGTGGAGCTTCCATAACACACACCAGCTGCTTTTTTGCCTTAGTAGCACTCCTGGTGTTCAGCCCAAGTATGGTTAGAATCAGCATGCAAGAAAAATCTTTTGTCACAAAAATCTTACATCTATCCACGAACAACACAATCAGAGCCTATTTTGGCACTGAGCTGGGCAATGAATAAATTCATAGCTGCTGCAAGACTTCTGGTTGTGACAGTCATTTCTGGATGAATCACAGCTGTTTTCTGAATAGAAGTAGAGGACAGACAGTTGTTGGGAGATGAATTAAAAGCAAATAGCTCAGAAAAAAATGAAACAATTTAAATAAATGTTAGAGAAAAAAATAAGGAAATTAGTAGCTGAATATACAAATCTTGGCTGTTTAGATATTTATAGCTTGAAACAGAAGAACTTGAAATTAATTTGGCTAAAAAGTGACAGAGTTTCAGTGACAGTCATTATTGAGATTATGCCAATATCTTTAAGCAACAGGATGGCCAGGGCAGTACCAGAGAATTTGGATCATCTGATTCTGTTAGCTGGACATCCCGTTTCTTTTAATGTATTATTTGCAACCACTTTCGAAAGTACAGGTATACTTAAGGAGCTTTAGTGCTTTCTCTTAATACTACTGAACATCACAGAAAGAAGTTTTCATAGCTTCTAGCCTATTTCTCTTCCTGACAGTTACATCCACAAAACAAAAATTATAATCAAAGCCGCCAGTTTCCATTATTAGCAATGCTCTTGTAGACATTACCTGAACTAAGAAAACAATTCTAGCATCGTCCTTATAATCAGCTTCAGACTTTCTGAGACTTTCTAGAATCAGTCTGTACTTCAGAAATGATTCTCGTTGCCGAGCCTCATTATCAAGCTTGCAACAGAAGTGACATCTGCCAACGGTGCGGGAATTAGCAGGAATAGGAAACTCAGTAGCTGGGAAGTAATTTTCGCAACTGCGACAGAAGTGAACGTTTTTATAAAGCTTTAAGGGATCTGGTGGAACCTAAAAGATGAAATTGAAGAAAGAAGTTATTTTCTCACAACATATCTCACTGTTACTTGTGAACCACCCAAATTCTGTAAGGAATAGATTTTACGTATGTTTAAGGAAATGATATTTAAAAGCCAATGATTTATTTCAAAATACTTAAAAGGATTTTTATTTTATCTTTTTAACAGAAGACTTTAAACAGGGGTCTACCACTATTTTTACTTCCTCTCTGTTTCTGCTTTTCAGGAAGTATTCTTCCTTTCTGGACTCATGGGAACTGTCTTTCTTACAGTGGAAGAAAAAAAACGCTTTCAAATCTCTCTACTGGTTCCCTACTTGCTATTAAAATTTATTGTTAACATTTTTAAGATATGTAAGGCCACTTAAAATGCTCAGATTTTTCAGTTCATACCTGGAGCTCTTGGCTTGCTCTCTACTCCCTGCTACCTGATAAATTGCTAAAAACATGCCCATGCCTCCTGAATGACTGTATAAGTTTATTCGTGTGATACTTGTATATATTTTGACTTCTTGAGGAATACTCACAGCAATTCTACAGCAAAAGGTTATAGGAAGTAAAAGAACATTGATGATTTTCAATTCCTCTTCTCTATCTTTAGTTTCATAGCCATTAAGTCAGATTGCAGTCTAGGAATACTACCTTAAGTATCCTTGCAACTTCAGGGTTAAACTTCGGAATTTTAATATACTGAAGAAATAGTGTACAAATTCTTTTCCTCAGTCCTTCTAAGTTGCATTCTTTTACCTCTCTTGACATAAGATCAACTTCCCTGTCAATTAATTCCACTATTTCCTGTGTTAATTCACATTTGTGTTCCTGAAGGAAAACAGAATTAAAAAGGAAAAGAAAACTTTATTGTTAGAAAGAAACAAACAACATAACTCTTAACAATGGCATGAAAGCAAATTATAGCTTCTGTGTAATTCATCAGTCACAGCTCTGTATGTTCACAATAAAAGAACCCTTAGTGGAAATAGGAAAATAACCTCCAAGCACACTAATGTAAGAAGTTAAAAAAACAAAAAACAAACAAACCAGAAAACCATGAATACATACAGATTTTGCTTCAACGAGCCTGCATATATACTGAAGCTAGGAAGAACTGAAAATCTGGAGGCACTAAATAATGCCTCTAAAACGAGGCTGAAAACTGTTCTGTTCTGTTCCTCTAAAAGCTTGAAGAAGCATCTCAATAAGAAGCTTCCTTTGGTTCTGTGATAGGAAATGTATATACACTGGTAGAAAGGAAAGGGGGAAAGGAAGGAAAAAAAAAAATGATACAAAAGGCCTAAGGGACTTACAACCATGCTTGAAATTAGTGCTTTCAGTGCTCCAAACACTTAGAGATACTCCAGAGATAGAAATCAAATGACTTAGGTCAATGTTTCTTCACCTGAAACGAGTGCTAATCTGCAGAAATTCTAGAATTTGTTTACTACACAGTATTGAATTGTATTAAGATGAACAGAAATTCATAAATTAGCAATGCTCCCAACATCATATTGACTTTTAATCAAATTCTGCTATTATCAAAACCAAGAGCAAGACATTAGTTTCATTCAGTAAGAACCAGGAAACAGCATTCTATTCTTACGTCACTGTTAATGCTGTCATCTCACAAGTACTTGAAAACTTACCTTGGTATTCTTTTTGTACATTAATATGAAAAAAATGGAGAGAAAGAAAGAGATTAAAAGAAAGGCAGACAAGTTTTTATTCCACTGGGAATAGTGGCAGCATCTAGCGGGGATGTAAAGCGGAAGAGAAAAGAATATCAGTATTTGCCAGCCATAGAAAGTGGCAACAAACCCACAGAGATCACAGAATCACAGAATTGTAGGGGTTGCAAGGGTCCTCTAGAGAGCATCGAGACCAACCCCCCAAGATGACAAGTTTCTAAGCAGATAGGTCAAGCAATTGAGAAAAACAGAAGTACAGTAACAGCCATTTACATTTCTGTCAAGGTTTGCATCAGTTTGTTACAAATATTAAGCTGAACTTTGTACTAAATTTGTATTATGTAGTAATACACACACACAAAGACTAAAGCCATGGGGTTAAAATCCTAATGCATCTTGAAGAAAAATGTGTACGTCACAAAGTGCAACATGGATTTTAAGTACATGTGGAATACAAATCATTCTGTCACGCCAGTTGGTAGACTAGGCTTTCTCTTGCTGCCAACTGATTTCCCTGGCACCTATTTGCCAGAAGAAGCATTGTTTATGTATCAACACAATTAAATCATAGAATCATAAATGCTCACGTCTTTTGAAAGTGCAGCTCAAATCCAAACATAAATAGAAAAATAGAAACATACCTTCACTGTACCTCTGAGTGTTAGCAGCACATCTCTTCTCTCGTCTTTCGGGATGTCATTCATGCTAACACTGCGGTAGATTTCAAGTAGTTCTCTGGCACGGAGTGTGTATTGTGTATCCATTTCAGTGATTTTTCCATCACATGCTTTCCATCTCTTAGGTTGTGCACACTTCAGAAACAATTTGTACGACTGAGCTACTATAACCAGCTGAACAAGTGTATTGTTACATAAAGTTTCAAACTGGGACATGACTTTGAAGCTTAACTAACACCAAAATCTAATTCTATTGCCAATACTTTACAGTACCTTTTCCACCAGAGCAAGCATTCAATTGCGCACTTGTTTAAGATTGCAGGTCATGAAATCTCAGAGTAAATTAATAGTACATAATACTCTCCTACAAGGATACGCTCTACTCCTTTAGAACAAATTTACCGATGGTGGTGTTAGAATACATTTGCTCAGTGTTTCATCTTGCAGTCATAAATCCCTCTGAAGTATCAGTAAGATCAATGGGACTGTTGATTCTGTAAAGATTGCAAATTTAAGCCCTCAAAGTCAGCTGCAGTACAGAACATCTCCAGGGAACTGCTCTATTTATGCTAGCTGCACAGACAACTGTAGAAGGCATAGACTTTGGTAAACTAAATTACGACTTCACAGCTTTTTGGATTCTTGGGCTAGCTCCCTGCTCGCTAACTTAACTACGTAACATATGCTTACTACTTCAATTCTTTTTGCACGTGTTTATCTGCTAAAGACAGTGAGAACTTACATGGTATTGGTTGCACTACTCAGTTTGAAAAGTCCAAACATCGTCCTCTTTCTACAGGACTGGCTCTGGGGGCTACTTACTCAGGGAGGTAGATATCTAAATCCAACAGAAATACAGCATTCAAAACCCTCTCCCCATCACTGCCCAATTCCATTCCCTGTCCTTAATCATATAGTGGGACAGTTACTTTGAACTTCATTCTCTGCGTTAATTATTCACTTTCACTGTATTTGAAACTTGAGTATTCACAAACATCTGTGAACTTCACTTTGTGATTTTAGTGGAAGTTAGATGCAGAAACACAACATGGAGCCTTCAGATACTTGAGTAGTTCTGTGGAGAACGCCCCAGTATCTCTGTGATCATTATTCTGATCAAATATACAGGCCTTCTGTGGTGATGTCATAAAAACAGCAAGGATATTAGATAGAACATATATGAACAGTTCACATAGGGTTTTTCTCTTTTTAAAATAAATTACCAAATTATAAAAATACGTAAGCAAAAGGAAAACAAAGCAACTGAAAAGGGAGTCCAATACTGAATAACATTTGATTATGTTGTCAGTGGAGATGGAACTACAATTAAACTGCTGTTTATCAATAGTAACAATCCAGAGCAAAAACTGTTTACGGGACACAACAGCAGAACAGGTACTAGTGAAAAATAGAACCCTTAGCTCCTTAATTAAATCTTTGAACTTAAGCAAAATTAGAAAGGAGTCATTTTCTGTCTTAAAAAAGGAACAGTCCAGCATATATTCATTACTTTCCTACATTAACAATGCACACTAACAGAAATGCTTTTAAAAAAAAAAAAAGAAAGGACAAAAGAAAACAAGGAAACACCACCACCCAACAGTTACGGAGCAGTATCGTGCTGCAGCTTTCTCACACAGCAGGTAAGCAACAATCCCTGTTTTCCAAGGAGTACTTGAATTCATTACCTTCATTTGGTCCTCTTAATGAAACCACTCTTTCTAAGACAGAAGGGTCATTTGCTTACAATATGAGCACAATGAGTCAATGAGCACAACTTTGCCTAGGAAATAGCTATTAAAGCTGGGTTTTCTCATCAGTTTGCACAAGCCATATATAAGCTAGCAGCCTCACTGTTCTACACTGAATACAATCTGTAACATGGGCCATTATATTATGACCACATTTAAATTATTCAACTCAAGATATGATATCTGTAAATTCTGTCATTTTTTCCTCTTTACTTTATCAAAACTGAATATGGTATAAATTTTAAACAAAGAAAGTAAACAGCTTTCTATTGAAAACAAAACAGGAGTCTCATCATTACGAACAATATTGCGGTGTTTCAGACGAATTCCAAGTTAAGAAATATATTTACTTTAAACTGTTCCAGGCTTCTTTTTCTGAGATGACAGAAGAATGTCAAATAGTAGAAGCAAATATTTGACAACGAAATGATTTATAATTTTGTTATCATTTCTAAATATTTAGTTTCCTAGCATTTTTCACTCTTGAAAGCAGTAATAGAGAATTCAAACACATCACAGCAATAAACCTTGTAACAGTTCCACCAATACTTCAGAGAAGTAATTTATATTCATGATGAAGAAAGATCATATATTTTTACCAAATCAGTTTTTGTGAACCTGTTCCCATTCATCAATAACAAAAACAAGGAAATTTCCTTTGTACCAAAGAGTCACTTTTTTGAAAACTAAGTAGTCAAAGTTGAAAAAAAACAATGAACTTTGATATTTTAAAACTCTTGCTGCTGCAGTATATTTTTTCATAGTTATTTCACAACTATGAAAGTAGACATCAAAAACCTTTCTTCTTAAGGGATGGATTGCTGAGATATTGTTTTAACTTAAAAAAAACTTCTCGTGTTTTATATTAAAGAGCCATTGAATCTAATGTCACTCTAAACTGTTGTTGGAATGAACTGAATGAATTGAATTTATTTTTTTAGTAAGTTTTATCCTCAAGATTATACAAAAATAAATTCTCATGTAAAATTTGTTGCTCATCTAAGAGCAGTCAATTAATCACTGAGATCAATAAGATTCAATTAAAGCTCTCCTGGCTTTCTCATCCAATACATGAACAATAAATAAATACTTCCTTTCAAGTCCAACAGAAATGATGACTTAGGAACAAAGGCCTATCCTAAATGGAGAAATGAACAATACATCTAATTTCTGAAGGATAACTTTTTTGAGGGAAGAAAAACGAAAAAAAAAAAATCACATGATTAATTCTGTGGGATTTAAGATTTTATAATCTTTTTTTATCTCCACATAATCTTTTATAATTTTATAAATACTAAATATATGCTTAAATTTTGCATTTAACTGCAATAGCAAACATTTCATTCTAAAAAGCAATGAATGAAGATAGCAGAGGGAAGGTCACCTAGTCATTAGTTTCATTTAGAGAAACAGAATGTTTTTGAAAGAGCTTATAGGCAGATTTCTAAAGATTCAAAAACGGATTAAGACAGATCACAGTTTCATGCATGAATTATTCTAGCATTCTAATTCACAGAATGCAAAATACAGAATGATTTGCAATGTTCTTGTGTTTCATAACCTCAAATCAGCCTTTCTGAATTCTGTCAGAATGATCTTAACAATGCTGTCAGAATTCCATCCTTGATGCAGGACAGTTAAAGGATAAAAAATTCATCCACTCAGTGCTAATTGTTTAGATTAAATACACAACTGGTTGTGTCTATGGTAGATCTCACAATTTTAATGTTGCACTGTTTGTCTTTTGATAATCAGTCACAGAGCTGCAAAAGTTGCTTCTAGCAAATGGTTTGCAGATACCTTCTCTGTTCTTGTATGCTGGAACTTTCTTTATATTCAGTCTAAAATTATTTCACTGACCTTATCCAGAAAGTGCAGCACTGCTTTCTGTTGATTGTCCTCATCTGCATTTAGCTTGTGTCTCCCAATGGAAGCAATCAGCTGTGTCTCTTGTTCTAGAAGTCCACAAAGTGCTGCCTTTCTTTCAGCTCCAGTAAGAATTCTGTTAATCCGTTCCGTCTCCTCCTGCCTCCATGCTACAGATACAAATATTCTGGGTAGTTTTTTAGAATATGCTTTCCAGTGAGATTTCTACTTTCATATTCAAGAAATAGCATATTTTCTATAGTAATAATAATAATAATAATAAGCTTTTGTATTAGCAAATTGATTATTATGCAAAATAGACATAAAAACAGCACAGAAAATAATGCCGAGGATAAAGATGTTCTGAGAGTGCAAGTATACATCAATACCACACTGCCAGGAAAATCAGTGAGAATTTAGCTTCTGTGGAAATGTGTGGTGCAGTGATTTCTTTAGGATTTTGCATCTAAAAACTACTCCAAACAAGATGAACACTAGGAACTTTTTAACCAAACATCGATCACCGTGATCTTCTCAACAGATTAAGAACAGAATCTTACTGTGGTCCCGATAGTATTCGGTGCTACAGCTTCTCCCTGCAGAAATGAGTAGAGATCAAACAAGACTGACTGACAATCAAGTTTAGCACTTCAGGGCTTAACAGTGAATATTGAGTGGTATCATCTTTTGCCACCGAAGGCTGATGGATGCACATATATAATTAGGTGATCATTATGTTACTCTCCCTTCTGCAGCAGAACCCTTCCAAGGGAGGGAAGCGATATACAAACATGCTGATGACAGCAGCAAGTAAATCAGTGGATGCTATGAAAACATCTGGCCTTCTGACTCAAGGGCAAATCAGCAAACCACAGGTACCTGCTGCACTTTGAAGTAGAAGCCAAATGGAATGACTAACATGCAGACACATCTCTCATGGCTTATTTTGCAGTACCCATTTCTTGACTATAATTGCTGACATCCAGCTTGTATGCCCTTACAGAAATCTCTCAGTAAAATCACCATTTACATAATACTGCTTTCCTTTGCATCCATCATAACAATTCCTGCCTATTTTGAAGGGTATGCTCCATTTCAAATACATCCAAAGATTTTTGCAGGGAGTTCTGTGAGATCCAAAACTTCCACATTCCTGAATAATATCAATAAGTTATTGTTTCAGGATAGTTATGCAAAAGAAAAACAGTGTGAAGAAAACAATCCAGTATGTGATGAACAGCTACTCAAAAAAAGGCTATAACATCCTGTATCAGGTAAGATTAAAGGCAGGAGGAGGGAAGGGAAGAAAGTTTATTTTCTGCCTGTGGCTTCCTTATCTACAATGCTTTATGTTTTATACTTTAAAATATTTTATTCATTTCCTTAAGGCTTTCCAAGCTTTGGTATTAATGTGACAGCTGTCTGACAAGTTCTGAGTATCCAAAGATATATTTTTAAATAAAGCCATTTCAGCAAATAAAAGCTCCTCACAGAATTAATTCACATGAGGCTTTGTATGCCTGAAGGGGGCAGCAACTTCAAAGGTGGAGTTAATAAATACACTAAGCAACTTTGTACCTGCAAAAATGAAGGGCCTGTCAAAATGTTACCCATACTCATCTACAAATTCAACATGTACATTTTATCAGGTCAGACATTCCTCTTAGACTATCTATTTTGCCTATTTTACTTGCATTTTTTATTCCAGTGTTTATAAAGCAAATGAAGTAGTTCATACTTTTCAAATAAATAGTGAATGTGTCTATATGTAGAAACACAGAATATTTAGATACATCTCATTTGCACCATACAGCCAACAGGTAAGTTTTTGTACCAAAAATAATTGCTTCTCCTGGCTGACGTTGTAATAGTATCCCCATGTTGTGATCAGCAGCAATAACCTTCACAGATCTGTAGAGGACAATAACCTCATTCTATTACTGTCACAATGATTTAGCTTGTGTAGACTGTTGACACTGTAAGAATGTAAAAGTAGTTTCAGATGCAGGTAGGAAAAAAAAGACTTCCTAGAACCACTAAGCTCTATTATATTAAAGAGCATGACTACAAGTCTCCAGAGAAGCAATGAGTCAACAGTGGTAAACAAAGACCAAAGAATATGATTGATACTAGACAATTATCTCCCACAAAATGTTTAAAAGACATTTCAAATATCAGTGTTTAGTTTATTCCTTCACAGCTCTTGAAATGGCAAATGCTTCTCAGATTTCCTCAATAGGCAAAGCTGGACTTTTTTATTGTTTGTGAATCCAACCATACTAAATTAGGCAAGAGAGATGTATGTAACCATACATTTTAAATCTAAGAATATAAAACAACAACAACAACAAACAGTGTGCTTATTCAAAACAACAAATCCCAGGAAGATATAATTTCCCAAATTTAAAAGCTTTAAAAGCTTCAGACTGGAAATAATTTTTACATTTGTCAGAAAGAACAGTAATATTTATGTCATTTATACATTTAGACAAAGCAATTTGTTCAATGCCACACAAAGTATGACAGAATTAAAAGATAAGTGGATAACTTGGGGTTTCTTGAATGATGAGCTTAGGCTCTATGAATAACACATACTGCCAAATTTATGCTCAGTTTACCATAGGAAAAATAGCTAGGATGGTTTAAGGCAGGTTCAGTAGCTTTGCAATGAATCAGGGAATCCATTCCGTCAGTTCTGCTATAGGGACAGCAATGTAAAATCTGCCAGAGTAAAACCACAAGTAACCACTTAAGCTTAGATAAAATGAGGTGTCCAAAGAGACAATGCAAATATATAGGCCATCACATTACTTTTTGTTGTTTTCATTTTTCCAAAAGAGCATGTGTTAATTTTTTGTTATACTTAGGAGATCATTCTTGTATAAGACTTCATGCCAATTATTTGCAGTATTCACCTTATTTTGCCAGGGAAGTTTACAAGTGCTTGTCTGCAGACACCATCCACTCTGCTAGGAGAAAGATTTCATGATGCCCTTTAGGAACTTTAAAAAATGTTCTTAAGATTTAACATTTTTATTTTTTAAAGATTTTTAAAATATTTGTAAATATTTGTAAATTTTTGTCTGCAGTTACAGCAGCTCTGCAAATAAAATACACTAGAAAGAGAAGAAACAGCAGCAGAAGAGGACATGCATGAAACAAAGAACCTCATTTACCTTTCATAAAACTCTTGGTAGAATTTAGTCCATTATGAAAATTAAATGGCAAATGATGGATCTTAATTGCAATTTCTTCATGACATTATTTTCAGTGACTTAAATGCATTAGAACTAACTTAGTCTTTTGATCCTTAGAAGAAAACAATAGAAGAATCTCGTTCTTCTTGTTGACCTGTATCAGGTCGTCTTGATCAGAAAGGAAAAGAAATCAACCAAAACCAGAAAAACTTGGTTCTAAACTACTCTCTTTTTTGCTGACTTAGGAGTGCTCCCTTAAGAAAAACTTACATTCTAAAGCGTGGTAAAGCAGGTCGAAGTCTTCTTTGGTTTTAGGGTTCAGTTTTCTCTCCTGCTCCATTCTCAGTTTGTCTTCTTTCTCTTTTTCCCTTTGTAACACTTGTTGTGCTTCCCATGCCAGCCTTAATCTCTTTTTTTCCTTCAGGTTTTGTACTATATTTCTAGCATGCCAACGACGAAAGTATTTCTGTAATACTATTACCTACACATGATAAAATATCACAGAACCATCAATTGAAAATCAAACAGCACAGCATTTTGTTCTTAACCGTTGTTTTTTTTTTTTAAACTACATTTTAACTACATTAACTGCATTTTAACTGCATTTTCTAAGATTTGTCTTGTACCTAGGCTAATTTAAATGCTTTAAAAACAGTTAAGTATTATTAGTCTAAACACTAGCCTGCTTACTTTTTTAGTTAAATGCAAGAGTGTAATCAGTGGAGGAGGTCATTGTTCTTTTTCAAGCTCCCCTTAAAAATTGGCTTCTGCCATGTATTGCTTTAATTTTTTCCCTTCAGCTGTGTAGGCAGAGGTCTCCATCTTAGTACCAATTTATGCTTTGTCAAAATTAGGAAATTAGATTCATATTTGCAAATTTAATTATCTTATTGAAAATTAAAAAGAAAAAAAAAAAAAAAAAGCACAGACACAAAACTAAATTAACTACGTTTTATTTGTAAACAAAGAATAAAAATGAAATTAATATTGCTGTTATGAAAAAACTTAAAAATATATATATAACCACCATCAAAAATGTTGCTATTAAAGACTATGGAGCTAGCCTAGACATATCACAGTAGGGAGGACAATGTACAGGCCTGAACTTCTGCCAGCTGAGTTAGCACCTGCACCAAAAACACTTGAGCCAGGTTAATTTAATGCCATTTTGAGTTTATTAAGCATCATTCAGTGTAGAAGGCCATCAAACACAAAACCATGTTGATACAGCTAAACAGCTCCAGAGGTATCTTAATCTAACATTTCCTTGGATACGTCTCCAGTTAATATTTCAGAACAGAACTACACTGTGCTGTGCAAATCCACCAAATTGAATCAACACCAGCTGATGTCTCCACTGTGCTCTATTCCTTGACACAGATGCACTCTAAAAAATAATTTTAGAATGTTATATATCAACAATAAAAAATACTCCTGTGTTCTTCTTGTACTGTGAAAAAATACATACAGAAAACTAACTAATATCCAAGGTATTAAAACCTGAAGGCCAGTTTTGGTTATAAGAAGCCACTGTGAAGGGAGAAAGTATTTTGGAATACATTTGCAAAGTGTTTGCTTTTGAGGTGAAAAATAAAGAAAATCATTCTGTGGTAACATTCAGAGCAGCATTATAGGTTACCTACAGATACATCACAGATTTCAGTGAGTAGCACTAATGATCACAGTAAAATTTTCTTGTAGTCCTGGGGAAACAGTTAGCTACTTGGGTTCCATTCCAACAAGATGCTTATTGCTGTCAGCTGATGCTAACCAAATAAGAATTTCTTACAGAAAATTTTAACAAGATTTAAAAAGCATCTTGTCAACCATATTAATACAATGATCCCACTTAGACACTTAGGGAAACCAACTTGTCATCCACTTAGTAAGACTCAGACTGCTTATTTTAAGCAATTAAATTAGGAATTAGAGCATTCACAAAGCAGCGTCCAAGCTAACGTGATGACAGGGAGTAATAAGATTGGTGTGCAATGACTGAACAGGTGGTTTACAAAGAGAAGTTCAGAATGCCTAAAGAGACATTCTGTGTACAACGACTATACAGCATCCGTTGTCAGAATTGGCTACGCTGAGCATCTCAGTGCACCAAAAGACTCTGAACCAAAAGAACCCTCAAGGCCATAGCATATATATATAGTCTGCTCTTAAATAAATACATACAGCGGGAAAAAAAGCCATAAACTCCAGAAGTTGAATGTAAGTCACATAAATCCTAATCCAATATTCTAGCTATTATGTCATACATGGCATTAGGCAGGGAGTTCGGGTCCTTCTAAAAGAGATCAAGAGAATGGGAATGGGACAGACCTATTGTAATAACTAACAGTATGTATGAAAGCTTAACTTAAGACAGAAAATAGCAAATTCACAATGATTAATATTTAAGAAACTGTAATGTCTCAAATGTTGCTAAAAACACCAATACTGTAAATGTGCACACGCACACATATCAGAAAGATAAGGAAACGTGAATATTCTGAAGTTCACTGCTAAAATCCCTCTTTGAGCACTCTGAAGACTCATTACATATTCAGATAACTTTTTTGCTACTTTTCTTTGCAGATACAGTTGCAAACATATGAGAACTTACTGCTTCAAGTCGACGCTTATGGTATTCCTCTGCTGTTAGGTACTTTCCAGGAGTTATTAGTTTGTCACTTTTGTTAGACACATACAGGCCACTTTTAGTCATCTGTGTAGATGTTGGGCTTGTTGTTTGTTGATATTTATTTCTTTCAAAAACTGTCTAGGAAAAAAATACAAGTCAAATTATCAGAAAATACATAGATTGTTTTCTCATTTCAAGAAATAAAGAACGAAAAATCAGCTATTTATAAACCCAAATCTCAAGATACATTATATAAATTCATTAAATATATTCAATTGCATACTTACTGTTGATTATTTACTTCCTCATTCCTGTTTGAAATAATTGTGTCAACATTCTGTTGTTTGGCAAAATAAAATATATCTTAAAAAGACACTGTTGGACCATTACCTGTGTTTCTCTACAAAATAATGTAGTTCCTTTTTCAGGTCTTTTTTTGGGTACCGTTTGTGACCCTGCATTATGAAATTCCACTCCTGTTACTCTGTTCTTAAATCCACCCAGAAATGGTTTACGAAAAGTAGGTCTTTCAATTTTCACAGCTACGTCGTGGAATGACTCAGAATCTGTTAAAATGAAGGTTACAGGATAGAAATATTGTTTCTTTCAGTAACAGATTGAGATTACAGAAGGTTTGTTTATTTATCTATCTTTACGTAGATATCCATAGGTATACAAATACAGCTACAGATACGTATTTAAAGGTGCCATTTACCCATCTGTACTCTGACAGTGATGACATCTGGCATATGGTAATCCTGTTGAGCTGCTTTACTAGGTAAAAGTTCCAGGTCAAGACACAACTTCTCAGACTGGGTAGTTTCATGAAATTCAGCCCTACTCCACATAACAGTTTGAATTATGCTTCCTAAAAGGTAAAAGGACAATTTATGATATTGTTCTCAAGCAACAACAAAAAAAAGCTTTTCAAGTTAATACCCAGATCATTTTACTGAAACACTGCAAGAGAGAACAAATACAGATTTTTGAGCTGAAAAAGTTTTCTTCAACAAAAATTTATTACACACTTTGAGATCTAACATGCTACTGTTATTACATAAAAATTCATTCATACTCCAATCAGAAAAGATACAGTAAGTAAATATCTTTATTTGCAAATAGAGAACTTTAAATCAAAGTTACCCACATACGCAGTGAACTTTTATTGAAAATCTTACCAAAGCCTGTTCCAACTTAGAACCAAGCATACAATGGTGGAATTGGTGTGTTTTTTTCACACAGAATTTGACTTCGTGGTGTTTATTCAAAGACTACATTCTGAACCAGATTTACATAGCTTCGTGCTCCAGAAATTAATTTGGTTTGATTTAGAGATACAACATAGCATCTGGCTTTGGTACAGTGCATTTCCCAGGAAGGGAAAGCCAGCTACTGGAGAATAAGAGCATCTGAACACAACTCAGGCAAGAGAAGGCAGTCAGCAACTCCATATTCTGAAGGGTCAGCCACTGTGCTCACATGTGGAACGGGATTTGTTGCCTTCAGCTCTGAAGGCCTAAGGAAGTGGGGCACTGAATTGAAAAGGGGAAGCAAGACAGGACACCCAGAAGAGAGAAGAACAAAGTGCAGGAAATGCTGGACTGTTTCAGGGACTGCAGGAGAAAGGCATGGAGGGTGGCTGGTAAGTCACAAGAGACCTAGGAGGTAAAATAGTAAGGTGATTGCTGTGGTCTGGTCTAAATTGATACCAGGTCACATTGTATTTGGAATGTGCACTGCTTATTTTAAAATACCTGTACAAAAGCCATATGCATTTCTTGATTCAAGAATCACTCAATAAAATGTCATATTAATCCATAAATTGCTATCACGATGTGAGATAAACAATATATCCCTCGCCTTTTCAATCGTGTTTCATTTAAGATTTTTAAAAGTCACCTCAAAACCAAGAACCTGCAAATGTTAACAGAACAAGAGTAGGGAGCACAAGAAGGCATAATCAGATTGAACAAAAGAATCCCTTTAGAGCAGTAACGTCCAACATTTTAACAACTTCTTTACCTGTCCCTGTTGAACTTGTCACATTCTCTGACAGCGATGCATTTTGAGATGTTTCTTCTTCCCTTTCTGAACTTCTTAATTCAGGTAATGTAGAGGACTTTGTAACGGCAACAGGAGATGCATTCTCAGGTGACGCACTGAAGGGGTTCTGTGGCTCGAGCACACCTTGGTTGCCATCTCCCATCACCTCCTGATGACAGAGTCCTTCTCCAGGTGCCTCCCGCAGAGCTGCCCCTGCCTGCTCCCAGGAGGCCTCCTCTGCCTGCATCGTGCTGGCAGCAGGGTGAAGCAGGGCCTCTCTGGACGGCTCCGTGCTGCCAGCCTGCCTGGGCCCCGCAGGAGGCTGCTCTGCTGCCCGTGCTCCTGCTGGAACACCTGAGGGGCAGCTCTCCGAGGCACCTTCCATCTCCAAAGGGCGAGCTCAACTTTTTAACCTTTCTGCAGGAATGCTCACAGTACCTATTAAAAACACATACAGGTTTGTTGGTATCATCACAGGAGCGGCAATATCCTGCAAAACTTCTCCCGAATTCTTTTTCAAGCAGCCTATTTAGAATAGCTTCAGATCTTAGTTTTTACTCAGAGAAAAACACAAAACATCTTACTGCTCTGTGAAAGCCATAATGTGCCAGCAGGCAGCCAGCAGAGCTTATATATATATATATGTATGTATGTATATATATATATATGCATGAATACGCATGATAAGGAATACACAGGTAGGAATATTTCATATACTCTGATAGATACAGATAGGGGAGATTCGGGAATCCGCGGAAGAGTAGAACCCCGCCCGGCCCGGCGTAGCGCCGGTGGGACGCCGGCCCCGCCCACAGCCCCGCGCCCCCCTGGAGGTGCGCGGCTTTCTCAGCACGGCCCGCGCCAGCGCCCTCACATCGGCCGTCGCACCAGGTGCTGGGTGCCGCTCAGCGCCGCGGGGCGCTCCCCGCTCCGGTGCCATCCCTGCAGGGCTCTCGCAGGACCTCCCGTCCCGGGCGGCTCTCCATGGTGGCGCTGCACGCACGGGCAACGCGTTGCGGTAGCCACGGCAACGCAGGGCGGGGCTGGAGGAGCACTTGAGCGTGCGCGGTGAAGCCAGGCGGGGGACGGCGGCGTCATGTGCGCGGCTGCTCGGCGGGCGGCTGTGGGTGCGGGGCTGTTGCGCCGCTGAGCGCTCGCCTCCTCAGTGCGCGCCGTCCCGCGCTCGCTGCGAGGCTCCGCTAGGCTCGTGTACGCAGGCCTGCTGCTTTCTCTCTAAATCCTGAGCTGAGCCCGAGCTCAGAGCAGAACCAGCCGGAAAGTGACTTGCTCCCTGGAAAGAGCTCTGCTTTACTGCCATCATAACTGCCTTCAGCATTCCAACGCAGCTTCAGTTTGGAAAATGCTTTCTCTTCCCCCCACAGTTACTTTGTTCTTCCTCTTGGCAAAGAATTAAACTAGTGAGAACACTGCCCACACACTGATCTCTCAGCACTTCAATCTGCTCTCTTCCCTCCCTTTGTTCTCAATAACCCATAACTTACTAATAATCTTGGGTAGCATAAATGGAGTTAATTCCTGCTTTCTAAAATAGTAGAGCAAAATTTAGCCAGCAATAAAGCATTAAAAGAACTTATAATGCATGCTGCAAATTTGATAAAAATCTGAAAAATCCTTCGTGATTTCTAGACTTTGGCTTCACAGTAGAACCTTTCTAATACTTGGGATAATGGATTCCTAAATTGAAGTATGAGTGAAAGCTAATTCAGTGTTTTGATAGATAAAAAAAAGTGATCCTATTTTGAGAGATTTGAAAGAACCATTTATAGAGCAGCCAAAGCACTGTGGCTATAAATAGGAAACATAGCAGTAAAAATACCTGTCAAGGCAGTAAGTCTGTTGCAAGAACTTATTTCTGCCTTTGAGAAAGGGAGAAGAGGTGAACTTCTGGAGAGTGGAACCTGACCTCGGTGCCAGGGAATGTTATGGAGCAGAGGGAGATCAGGTGGCACGCGCGGGACAACCAGGGATCAGGCCCAGCCAGCATGGGTTCACAAAAGGCAGGTCCTGCTTGACCAACCTGATCTCCTATGATCTACTGACCTGTCTGGTAGGCAAAGGAAAGGCTGTTGATGTGGTCTACCTAGACTTCAGCAAAGCCTTTGACACTGCCTCCCACAGCATTCTCCTGCAGAAGCTGGCAGCCCATGGCTTGGACAGGTGCACTCTTGGCTGGATAAGGAACTAGCTGGAAGGCCGGGCCCAGAGAGTGGTGGTGAATGGAGCCAAATCCAGCTGGCGACTGGTCACGAATGATGTTCCCCAGGGGTCGGTGCTGGGGCCTGTCCTCTTCAATCTTTATTGATGACCTGGATGAGGGCACTGAGTGCACCCTCACTAAGTTTGCAGATGACACCAAATTGGCTGGAAGTGTGGATCTGCCTGGGGGTAGCGAGGCCCTACAGAGGGATGTGGACAGGCTGGAGAGCTGGGCTGAAGCCAATGGGATGAGGTTCAACAAGGCCAAATGCTGGGTCCTGCACTTCAGCCACAACAACCCCAGGCGATGCTACAGGCTTGGGGCAGAGCAGCTGGAAGACTGCATAGAGGAAATGGACCAGGGGATATTGACTGATGCTCGGCTGAACATGAGCCAGCAGTGTGCCCGGGTGGCCAAGAAGGCCAATGGCATCCTGGCTTGCATCAGGAACGGTGTTGCCAGCAGGAACAGGGCAGTGATTGTCCCCCTGTACTCAGCTCTGGTGAGGCCACACCTCGAGTACTGTGCCATTTTGGGCTCCTCACTGCAAGAAAAACATTGAGGCCCTGGAGCGGGTTCAAAGAAGGGCAACAAAGCTGGTGAGGGGTCTGGAGCACAGGGCTTATGAGGAGAGGCTGAAGGAGCTGGGAATGTTCAGCCTGGAGAAGAGGAGGCTCAGGGGAGACTTTACTGCTCTCTGCAACTACCTGAAGGGAGGTTTTAGTGAGCTGGGAGTCAGCCTCTTCTCTCATGTAACAGTGATAGAACTAGAGGGAATGGCTACAAGTTATGCCAGAGGAGATTCAGGCTGGATGTTAGGAAATACTTCTCTGAAAGAATGGTCAAGCTGGAATGGGCTGCCCAGAGAGATGGTGGAGTCACCGACCATGGAGGTGTTAAGGAACATTTGGATGCTGTGTTGAGGGAACATGGTTTAGTGAGAACTATTGATGATGGGGATGGTTGCACTGAGCGATTCTGTGGGTCTTTTCCAACCTTGGTGATTCTGTCTTCAATGCTGGCTATCAAATTTCATCACTAGTGAGACAGTAAGAGACTTCTGCCCTGCAATATAATTCACTAGCTTGTAGGACAGATAATTCATATGACAAATACAGCTTTAGAAGCAGAGTATGTAATGGAATGAGAGCTCAGCTCTCTCTGTCATGAAAGAATAGAAACAAATTGCAGTAGCTGTTACTGCATTTTGCCAATGTTTCCATCTCAAGAATTTCTAGCCAAAATACTTTGTTTTGGGGTCATCATCATCATCTGACATCATTCACACTCATTCAGGTTTACAATTCTTCGGTAATTCTCATGTGGAAATTGATTGCAAGTCACAGTGAAGTCCTTTTCAATAATGCCACCTAGTGGCTTTATCTTAGAAGAAACCAGCTTTTCACAAGGCTGAAATAGCTGTCAAAATCTACCAACGAAGTGTAATATTTTCAACTTTTTGAATTGTGAGAGTTTAAGACTTCTGTGATTTCACCAATAATCAGTGGGAAAAATCCCTCTAAAGTTGCTGTAGAAGTAATTACTGGCACGCAAGCACTACATAGCTTATACTGGCTATACCCAGTAGGTTCTCTTCCACTTGCCTAATGCCCTAATACCTTACCTATACTCATATATCTACAACATAATTAGTCACAGGTAATTAGACAGTGGTAAACTGATGGTTCTAAAGTCTGTATACCTATTACAAAGTACGTATGTAACATAATGCACTGGAACTGTCAACCTTTAACAAGCTGCAGATTTTTGTCATACAGCTCATCTTTAAACTTATAATTATTATAATTAATAATAAACATTATTAATGGCACTGAGAAACTGTGAGCAAAGACAAACTCGCACACTGACCCTGGATCTAGTCTGTCAAACTTAGATTTCTAAAATAGTTTTGAGACTGGAGATGTGTGGCTGGTTCTTCTTTCAAGCATTTAGATGGAAAGAGCACACGTCAACAAAAATCCATTATTTTTTCTTAACAGAATTTTCTTAACAGAATTCCAGGTCTGAATCAGTAATATACAAATAAACCAATGCAGTACACACTTATATACAAAACCAAATCCTACACATACAAAATTAGAGTGACGTTAAATTTTGTGCCACGTATATCATGCTAAGTATGGTAAGCTACCTGCAAATGAAGAAACCCATTCCTGCTTCTCAGCACCTCCCTGAGCCAGAATTATTGCTTATGTGGCCAGAGGAGTCAGCTAGTTTGGGACAGCGATTCAGCTAAAAACTGAAAAACATTATTTTTGGTAAGCCTGACTTGCATTACATCAGATCCCTAATACTGGTATCTGCATGGTCATACAGACACTGGTACTGGCTTTACAAAGATAGCAAAAACACACAACCATCAATGGCAGAAAAAGGCAGAACCATGCTTTTCTACAACTTTGATTTTGATTTCAAATGAAATACCTGTATCTGCTAATATACACATACAGATTATAATGTTATCGTGCACAAATAAGTACCCTGTTAATCAGCAAATGACAAAAAGAAATGAATCAATGGTTGTAAATAAGCTGACTATTCTTAAAGCCATTTTTGCAAGAAACTGGTAGCAATCTTTAGATTGCTGTATATAGTGGACATTAAGACAAAATATGGTTTTATTAAGTCACTTTTTTTAATTTAAAGGTACTGTCAGTAATAGATTATATTTCAACTTTGACTTTCAAGAGGTTACACCATTTTCAGTATTATATTGGCCATCTCCACTGGTCAGTAGGAGGTTCTTCAACTAGAGGCTCCCATGGTTTCCACTGTAACATTTTTCTTGCCAGGGAAAGCTCATTTTCAGCCTGTTAATAAAGACCATACATTAAACAAGTTCTTAAATTCTATACAACTGCCAGAATATGAAACCACCTTTAGTTCAGTTCATCATCTCAATGATGTGCCACTACCTGTTGTAGTCAGGGACAATGTCAAATTTTATGTTTAACTATGGTACTTCTTTTCCCCCAAAAGCAGCTTTGTGAATTTAAGATGTGCCAAGTCACCCCCAAATGCCTGCAGTCTGTTCACCTCATTCCTAATGACTACTTTATAAGCTCATCCCTGACATTCTCCAGTCTATTTGGATTAACCTCCCACATCATCCTGCCATCTTCTGTCCTCTTTTTTTGGTTGATTCA